GTAAGAAAGGACAAGAAAATCCCAACATTATATGAAGATTACATTTTGGGTAAACAAAGATGGGTTAGTTTCTCCCACGCTGGGAAATAACAAAAAACTAAATGTTAAAGCTTGTGCACAAGGATCATCCCCCATCATTTTTCAGATGGTATTATTAAACTACATCACTTTCTTTGATGTAACAAAAAAAATGACATGAGTTTTTTTTTAAATAAAAATAAATTTAATGTTCTGTAAATTTCTGTTAAATGAAAAGTCCAGTAAAAAATGAAATTGAAGATGAACTAAAGTACCTACGATCAAATAATGATTGGATGCAGGACTCCATATAACTCAAAAACTATTATGTTTAAATTGCTGACGAACATCTGCTCGCATCATTGTTAGTTATATGAGCAAGTTAGTATAAAATTCTAAGTAATAACTCAAAGAATTTCTAATTACTAAAAATCTTATTGTACAAATGATTGGACTTCATCGTTGTTAAGAAGAAAATAAAAAATCACGTTTAAAGATCCTTATCATTGAGGTAACATGTAATATGTCTCCCTGATGTTTCTCCTAATTTTTGAAATACAGATAATTCAAACTACAGAGGTATCTCACCAACATTTTGATGTATTGGTTGATGTTGCTCAAAATAATAAGAACATAATGTAATTGTCTCCTACGACAAGTATGTTTCGCATATCGACCCTCTGGACATGCTTTATTTTTTACAGTTCTCTAGATTTTATTCAAAAATCTGCGATATACACATATTTTTAATAAATTATGGTAATAAAGCCTTCTAATATAAAAAGTTCAGTGAGATGAAATACCTATAAAAAAAATACATCCACATGTACTATACTGAACGCCCAAGTATAACTTCATAATATAGATGGACGAGCACATACTCTATAGAGTCAAAAAAATCAAGAGTAAATATCTACTCGAGTTTGCATAATATTAATGAAATACTCAAAGATTTTCAACGCATCCGCAATCAAAGCCCTTGCACACGTTCTTGAATAATGCACTGATTTCGATTAATGGAATAAATATCGGTAGTGACACATCACTCAATGTATTTTGCAATAAACACTATAAAAAAATATGACAATCATGACTTTTCATGCTGAATATCTTCCATGCTCTTACGTCAATGCAGCGACTCAAATTGAACACATACCCACTATGAAACATGAGAGAATGCATCCATTTACATAATATTTTTTGTTGATCTAATGTTAGACAATACTTCATTTTAGGCTTCAATAGTTTACATGTGTTAGTCTATTGAAGTTCTAACTCTCCTATTATAATACTCATTCAAGTACAATCTTACTTTGATATTATCTTTAATTTTACCCTTAACATTCATCACAATATTGAAGATATTATCAAAAAAAATTTCTCAATATGCATGACATCAAGATTATACCTAATCAAATCGGTCATCTAGTAAAATACTTTGTAGTGTCCAATTATGTGTAACATCAAAATAAAAAAAATGATTTAAGGCTAGTTTTGAGTTCTCAGTGACCTTCAATATTTAATTAATCATCTGTCATAAATCTTCCTCACTTATTCTTGGGAGAGAACTTGATTTTTCAACCCTAGTCTTTAAGAAGACATCTTTATTCCTTCTAAATGGGTGATTGTATGTTAGAAATCTACGGTGACAGCCAAACCAAAAAATTTTTGCTTTCATGTTTTAAGATGAATACCTTGGACAGATCCATACAATAAGGACAAGCTACTTTTTTGTCGTGCCCCAATCATATAGTATCACATAAACAAAAAAATTACTAATCGCACAAATCATGGCAATTATAAGATGAAAATTCTGTTTTGTAGCAATATCATAAATAAACACACTTGCTTCCCATAAAATTTGAAGCTCATCAATTAAAAGTTGTAAGTAGATATCAATTTTTTCCTCTAGGTCTATGGATATGGTATGATCAACATTAAAAATAAAAACGACGTGTCATGCGCACATCAAGGGGCAAGTTATATCTCTAATAATCACTGGCTAACATGAATAAGTAGTTACAGTCTGATTGTATGATGTGAACTCGCCTACACATAAGTCAAGCCTAACATTGTGTGGTTCAATAACAAAGTCAAGATAAATACGATCAAAATATTTACAGGCTTCCCCATCTGACAGATGACTAAAAGAGTTGGTATCAACACATCTATTATTATGTCATATCATGTGAGGAGTCGTAGACATAAAAACGAATAATCTTTGAAGTCAAGGAATGAGGCGGAAGTAGAAGAGATGCTTGTATGAAATACTTTTCTGATTTTTACTTTTTCAACTCATTTGTTTTGAATCTCAGCACCACAAAATTTGCACTGTGTCTACATTGTAATTATCTTATAATACAACAAATAACCATTAACACCACGGTGTATCTTTTATGATAGTAATCCTAACTTCAAAACTTTTTTTTTTGTAGAGGTCCTCTAGAACTAAATTTCCCTTGGGGTTTATATCCTTCATAAATACTGCAACACGATTAAAACATTCTCTAAGCACAATATAATCTTACTTAATGCTCAATATTCTTAGCACTATTAATAACTCTGAATGTGTGGTGCAACATTCCCATAAAAGTTGTTATGCAACACTAAATAAATTGTTAAATTTTTGCACTTCACTCTTCAGATCTTGATAATTCTTAGAAACACTCCTGATGAAATGAGTTTTGCCTTCATCAAAAATCATTTCTTCATATATGTTAGGATCATATTCCGTTAAGGGAAAGAACATGATGAAGCACCGCATGATCATATTGAACATCTGGTTAATACTCAACATATGCAGTCCAGTTCCAATAATTAAGTTGAAAGCTCTTACGGTACAACTTCAACTTGACCTCATTAGGCATTAGATACAATAATTTTTGTGTTTTGCGCATGAAGCTTTCATTATGAAAGGCAAATGGGCAGCTACGAAGCCACTTGCACAAATTCTTGAACATCATTCAAGAAATCATCTGTGGTTCCTTTTCTACTTGGTTACAATATATTCTATATCCTTGATCTCAAATATCCATCAGCAGTTTACGTAGATTTAAAAATTAAGACATTTAAATATCACTCACAAAATGATCAATTCATACATAATTATGTACATATACCTAAAACTACAATTCTAACATATATACATATACATGCAAACATATACACAAATATATACATAGACACAATTATACACATGCACGCACATATATAAATACATACATTCACACACCACACGCACATATATTATCAAAAACACATAAATATAAACACACACACATAAATATATATACATACACACAAACACAAAAATGCAAGAGTTCCGTGAATTCACAAATTTTAGGTTTTAAGAGCCGAAATTTTGCTTTTGATTCAACTTAAATCCGACTTAACTAAATTAACAAGGAAAGTGGATCAAATTTAATGGATTAACATTTTTGGATTTACTAAATCCTACTAACCCTACATTCTACATGCAGCCAAACATCCCCTAATGCATAGTTGAACCCTAATACATACAAAATAGAATAGATCAGCAAAGAAAAAACAAAAGATTTGAAAAAAAGTGAGAAAAAATTTTACCATGAAGAAAAGCTCGCATATGATGATTTGTCAGAGTCATGAGGTCCTCGGACGGTCACTGAAGACGATCACTGGGGGCATTCACTAGAGGGCTAGGGTTTCTGGAGCAAACAATAGAACAACGGAGAGCGTTAATGCATCTAACGCTCAGTAATTTGTGTCGATTGTAGCGTTCATAAATTCGTTCACTATTAAGTCACAAAGATAAAGATGAATAATGTCATCGCTATTGTCGACACAAATTTATTGTGTCTGCATGAGACAACACAAACTTCATCATTAATAATGCACGGCGTAAATCAAATGTAAAAGCAAAACAAATAATTTCATCGGACAAGTCCCGCCACAAATATAGATGTTATTTAGTTATTTTCACGTAGTGTTGCCTACATGAAGGAAGCGACTTTCTTCTTAAATGATTTCCTCCTTCGTTGCTCTAATATGCCTATCTACAACAGGAAGTTGTGTTATCTCATTGTTTCATGTGAACTAGAATAGGTCTATGCTATCCCTTTTATTAAGTAAAACTATTGGATATATTTATGCAAAGTGGTAACTACAAAGTGGTCCCCTAAACCCTTTTTATATATGAAGAAAAACTTTTGATCCACCTTCTTCAAAGCATAGTGGAATAATTAGATCTCAGAACAATCGTAGATGCAGGTGGATCTCATCAATTCATATAAATGTGTCTAGTGCTTGTGATCTTTATTGTGTTTATTCTGTAGTATTTACTTAAGTTTTGTTATTATCAAAATACTATTGACTTTGATATCACTTATTGAGGAGTAGAATTAAAATGGGGCTAACTTAAGGTAATAAACTAGTAGATAAAGTTATTATTCAAAAAGCATAAGCTCGACATATTTTTCAACTATCTGATACGAGATTAAACCCAAAAACATCATGCATGCAAATTAAAAATAGGGTGGGAGGGGGTCGATTATTACATCCAATTAATCCTAAGACCTAGGTATACATGCCTTTCAGCTTTAAGAAATTAAATTAATATACTTTTGAGTTTTTTTTCAATTGCAGTACGAGACCGAGTGTTATGAGGGCCATAAACTGAATGAACCACCTATTCAGTGTTGAGCCATCGCCTTCGACGCCCCTCATAGAGGAATGAACGAAATGGTACCAAAATTAAGCTAGATACAACTGTGGTGAAACTCGTTTCAAATCAAAAAACTAAAATTTATGAATATTTATGGCCTATCCCCAGATATTCTGACCTTAACATATTTTTAAATATAAAATGCGTGGCTAAATCTAATTAAAGTCTCATGTCCCTCAATAAGTTGAAGCAATCTTGTACTCAAACTTTGATCTTAACTATACAATAAGGTGTTAACTCTGTCTATGTTTTTATTTAACATTGGTTTATTAACCAAAAGCAGAGTTGAGAAACTGAACATATATCAGAGACATGGCAAAGCTAAGGTCATTGGAATTCTATTAGCCTTGGCTGGTTCACTCCTCATGGTTCTATACAAAGGACCGGCCGCAGAGTTCCCACGGTACAAAGGGCGAGAACATCATTCTGCAGTTAATTCCAATGGTAATGATAAAGAAGGGTTGAATTGGATTATGGGAACATTAATGATAATAACGAGTAGCACCAGTTGGTGCATCTTCCTAATACTGCAGGTAATAACAAGAGTTCTTAATTTTGAGTTTTTGTTTATCACACGTTATCTAACAAGATTACATGCATTTATGATAGTCGAATACATTAAAATCATATGAGGCTAAATTTAGTCTCACCACCTTGATTTGTTCCATGGGTGCTGTAATGAACACTGTACTTGCCCTAGTTTTGGAGCATGGATCCCAATCATGGATTATAAAGTGGGACATGAGGCTCTTTGCCATCATATATTCAGTAAGTTCTTCCTCAGTAAAAAAATAAAATACATTAATCAGAAATATTAAGGAGAAAGTTGAAAATCAAGAAAAAAACAATATTGTTTACAGGGCGTGGTATGTACTGGGGTTACTAATTATTTGTTGGAGCTGGTTTTGAAGGACAAAGGACCAGTTTTTGCCGGAGCCTTCACTCCACTTTGTATGATTGTTACTGCTGTCTTGGGCTCTATCATTCTTGCAGAGAAAATACATCTTGGAATGTAAGAATTTTTTTTCATTTCTCGTTAATATTTAAGTGTTAAAATAGATGAAAGGTTTGATTAAATAATTAAATTAAAACTTCTAAGAAAGGTTTTAATTTGCTATATTGAACGTTGTAGGATTATTGGGGCAATAATTATAACAGCCGGCCTCTATTCCCTTCTTTGGGGCAAGAGCAAGGATTACACAACTCAATCAGAAGATGATCAAAGCAGGGACTATTTCTTGAATACAGATTTATCTATGGCTGAACACAGCATTACAAAACAAAATTCTATACCCATTGATCATGACACGACAAAAGAAAAGTCAATGACCATGCCTTGATCATTTCTTTTGCACAAAACATAAACAGTCGACAACCACATAAGGGGCCGATATGGACGAACAAGATGGTCTATTATGTTTGACGAGGGGATGGAGAAGGTGAAGAGAATAGTGAGGGAGATGTTCAGTGACATAATAATGATTTTTTCACTATATTCTTCACTTTTTTTTAGTTTGCATCTATCCAGTTCTGTTTATTTTCTGTTTTTCAACGTTTTTTCGTGGCACAGAAACTAGTAAGCAAAAAATAGGATTTAAACATTTTTTCTTCTTTTGTAGAATTTTCTAGGAAAATATTGTTTTAAAATAAAATAGAAATTACGATTGAAAAGTTCAGTTTTTGAAATCTCAATGTTAAAAATAGAAAGGGACATTTACATACATACCACCCAATTCCTATGTATTTACATATCTAACACCTAAAATTTACAATTAGCACTTATAACAACAAACTGGTGTGCACCATCTATATAACCAAGACATGGATTATAAGAGGATAAAGTCATATACCATGACATGGAAGCTTACTTCATAAGTTTCCCATCTTCTCTCAAACAATCTATTTCCACAGTTCATAATCTGAGTGCTGAGACAATCCACACGAACACCCTCTCCATGAGAGCTCTAGCTTTGCACATCCCTCAATCATATAAACTCATCCTATAAAAAAATTAGTATTCATAATGGCAAGTGTGGAAGGGGCGGCGATGATAGCATATAGATGGTCCTATGTAGGCTGAGAGTAGAGTCAATAAAAAGAACAGAGGATGCAGAAAGAGCAAACAAGAACCATAAGGCTCTTAGTTTTTTTAAGATATAGTTGCCCAAAGAGAGGGTAATAATGTCAAGTATATACATGTTCTGGAAAATGAAAAAATTAGCTCACAACTCGTTGCGAATTAAAAGGAGAATACTCATATTGGATATATGAGGTTTACGTAAGCATTTATCAAAACTTAGACTCTAAGAATCAAAGTATGTCATGCAGTGTCAATTTCTACAATTAGAGTGGATGGCTGGCCATCAAAAGAATTTCATTTTTGATCATCAAAGATCAAAAGAGTCCAACAACTGGCATTACAGCCTACTTAGGCCAGTAGTTCCAACAGGCCACCTTAAGTGCATTTTAGAAAATAATATTGCCAAGTCAACATGATATAGTAAGACTGATATAAGCCTAATCCATATGACAAAAATGCATTTAAGGATGTGAATGTCATCATTTTCATTTTGGTACTTACCATAATGTTAAACTTAACACAAAGAAAAGTTTGGACAGCTATAATACAGTAAAACTTGTCTAGACTCTCGCTAATAAACCATACATCAAAGCTCAAGATAGTCCAATGCTGAATAATAATATTAACTAAGATATTAATAGGCCAGGTTCATTGGATTTAAATAAATAAATAAATAAAAGAGTGAGCATATGATATTTTCTTGTTTCAAGAATCTGATTGATTTTATTTCATTATATTTTATGATAAAACTTTTAACCTGTTGACCTCAATTTTCGTGAGGTCTAGTTTTTCTTGTAGGAGTTAGGATCTAGCCTCAGGGGTCTTCCTGCGACTATCTTAGAACCTTAGAAGTGGTGCCCGCCTCGTTTTAGTTCGACCCGTTTCCGTCCTCTTTTGGAGTTTCGCGTGTGTGGTATCGACTTCTAACGCTTAGAAGGATGAAACCGACATGAGGAAACCCAAAATGGATTCCTATAGGACCTTTCCGAGCCTTAGGGTGGCCTTCTGCACAATTCACACTCCTGCGCGCACCAGCTTCGCGATTCGGAGAGTCGACGCGTCCGATTGCTGCAATTCGCATTGACTGCACCGTTATTTGTCGGGGACTCGAGTAAACCACTTGTGACGATCAATCGCGGGCCAATATTTGGTGAAGTTTGAATTTTGACGCGTTTTGACCCGATTGTCGACGATGTCGTCCGAGCGACCCCGGATGACGAAATGGACTGCGCCAACGCGTCTGGAACGTTGATTTTGCCCGGGGAGGACACCCATTTTGTCGCGTCGTCGCGCGCGAATAAATCGTTTTAATTAATATCTATATATATATATATTTAATATATATATTTATATATATATTAGTTAACGATTTTTTTTTTGGGCTCTGTTTCTCGAGTATGGTTCCTGTTTTCTAGTTGGAGCTTGGCTTTGGGCTCTGTTTCTCGAGTATGGTTCCTGTTTTCTAGTTGGAGCTTGGCTTTGGGCTCTGTTTCTCGAGTATGGTTCCTGTTTTCTAGTTGGAGCTTGGCTTTGGGCTCTGTTTCTCGAGTATGGTTCCTGTTTTCTAGTTGGAGCTTGGCTTTGGGCTCTGTTTCTCGAGTATGGTTCCTGTTTTCTAGTTGGAGCTTGGCTTTGGGCTCTGTTTCTCGAGTATGGTTCCTGTTTTCTAGTTGGAGCTTGGCTTTGGGCTCTGTTTCTCGAGTATGGTTCCTGTTTTCTAGTTGGAGCTTGGCTTTGGGCTCTGTTTCTCGAGTATGGTTCCTGTTTTCTAGTTGGAGCTTGGCTTTGGGCTCTGTTTCTCGAGTATGGTTCCTGTTTTCTAGTTGGAGCTTGGCTTTGGGCTCTGTTTCTCGAGTATGGTTCCTGTTTTCTAGTTGGAGCTTGGCTTTGGGCTCTGTTTCTCGAGTATGGTTCCTGTTTTCTAGTTGGAGCTTGGCTTTGGGCTCTGTTTCTCGAGTATGGTTCCTGTTTTCTAGTTGGAGCTTGGCTTTGGGCTCTGTTTCTCGAGTATGGTTCCTGTTTTCTAGTTGGAGCTTGGCTTTGGGCTCTGTTTCTCGAGTATGGTTCCTGTTTTCTAGTTGGAGCTTGGCTTTGGGCTCTGTTTCTCGAGTATGGTTCCTGTTTTCTAGTTGGAGCTTGGCTTTGGGCTCTGTTTCTCGAGTATGGTTCCTGTTTTCTAGTTGGAGCTTGGCTTTGGGCTCTGTTTCTCGAGTATGGTTCCTGTTTTCTAGTTGGAGCTTGGCTTTGGGCTCTGTTTCTCGAGTATGGTTCCTGTTTTCTAGTTGGAGCTTGGCTTTGGGCTCTGTTTCTCGAGTATGGTTCCTGTTTTCTAGTTGGAGCTTGGCTTTGGGCTCTGTTTCTCGAGTATGGTTCCTGTTTTCTAGTTGGAGCTTGGCTTTGGGCTCTGTTTCTCGAGTATGGTTCCTGTTTTCTAGTTGGAGCTTGGCTTTGGGCTCTGTTTCTCGAGTATGGTTCCTGTTTTCTAGTTGGAGCTTGGCTTTGGGCTCTGTTTCTCGAGTATGGTTCCTGTTTTCTAGTTGGAGCTTGGCTTTGGGCTCTGTTTCTCGAGTATGGTTCCTGTTTTCTAGTTGGAGCTTGGCTTTGGGCTCTGTTTCTCGAGTATGGTTCCTGTTTTCTAGTTGGAGCTTGGCTTTGGGCTCTGTTTCTCGAGTATGGTTTCTGTTTCCTGTTGGGAGCTGGGCTTTGGCTTTGTTTCTCGATTGAACTAGGTCCTTGGTTGAGTTAGCCCTTTTGAGCTTGGTTTAACTCTAAAGGGGGGGAGATCTGTATTTGTTTTGTCTTGCCCCTGCTAGGCTCGGTTTGGCTCTTTAGTTCTTGCTGAACTCAGTTTTAGCATTGTTTGAGGTTTTTTTTTT